GTCATCAAATTTCGACTGATCAGAAATACCATATAGTGCGCACACAGACTCATCTGGATGCTGCTCAACAATGTCCAGAATTGTTCCTTTTTCAAAACGCGCACCAAAAAGGCTCACAATGACATCTTTAATTGTTGCATTACCACCAGGCGTTACCAGTGCTTGATGTTGCTTACTAAAATGCGCCAAAAATATTAGGTATTCAAAAAATGCATAGCTCTAACATGAAGCCATTCATCTTGCCATCTCAGGAAACCTCCGTTATCGAGGAATAATGACATTGGCAGAAGAATCACAGGGCAGGATTCGCGTAATTCTTCACGTTAAAGAATTTTTTATGCTTTTTTTTTTCTTTGTTTCTTCACAATTCTTCACAAATTTTGTAAAATTTCTGCTTTCTTGGCTGTCTTTTTTCCAATAAGGATGAAAGTAGTGTTAGTGTTTGGACATTTCACATGTCAGTGTACAGGGAATATGCGAAAGCAAAAGCTAATTTCACACCTACAGGCTTGCACATGGACAGCAAATATTCTCACGAAACTGGGCTTCCTGCTTAGTCCGGTTGCAAAGTAAATGGGTGTTAAAATTTTACTTGTGCGTAATGCGAAGCCTAGGGAAGCTTCGATGTTGAATTCAAAGTTTCCAACTCGTACAAAGACAAAGAATACCATAAAATTTCAGCTCCCTATCTTTTCTGGCTCTCAAAATTGCCAATTCACTACAAATATCCTTGATGTGTTTTTAGGGGTGCGGCAAGTACGATCAAAAATTAGTTTAAATGCAGGAATCCGCACAAGGGTACGGATACCTGCATTTAAACTAAGAAAATTTCAGCTAATTTTTTTGGCTAATTTCCGGGTTGTGCAGTGCCAGTGGCAGACTTTGACGTTTACGCGTATGTGACAGCCGAAATTGAAATCTTTAGCTCACACACGCATAGGGAACATGAGTGTGAAATTTTTACTTCCTATTCTGTCAGATTCGCGAAACTGTCTCCCGCCAAAAAATTTCTCTTTTTCGGGTCCGTATGTGAGACACAGACGTACGTGAGAGCACTGATTTTGAAAAAGAAAGATGGCACATGCTGCACGAATGCGCTACAAAAATTTCAGTTTCCTATCTTCGTGGGTGCTGGGTTGAAAATGGATGACAAATGTTTTGGAAATTTTTAGGATGCAAACTATGAAAGTCTGTTTGGCACTACACGACCGCCGATAAGAGGGGCACAGTCGAATATTGACAGTTGGGGGAAAGAAGGAAGTGCCAATTTAGACACCCAGATAAACGAGCCTGTATGCGCATTAGCTGTTGTCCTGTCTGTGTTTCATCTCTGAAATGCAAACACAGACGGCAGAGCCGGTGCATAGTTCACGGGCATGCACATAAACACACGGGCCAACCACTTTACAATCTCAGGGGCGAGAAAAGCTAGAAAGCTGAAATATTAAGACGAATAGCAACAGTCCGAAAGCAGCCCTGCAGTCGCGTTTGCCTGAAGCTGAATCGAAAATGAGAACGAACCCAGGTATCAAGCTGTTCACAACAAATCGTACGTCTGTTCTCGACAACGCAAACGACTGTACAACAGTTAGAAGTTTAGCGAATGCTTTTTTGACGGTTCGCTCGAATTCTTTCCGCCTCACGGGAAGCGTTTCAAACAAATTTTCTATAGTTACTGTGGTACCAACCTGCAATAAAATTTAACATTTCTGAAGGGACAAAGACTGCTCGTGCAAACAAACATTCGCCACTTTGCATGTTATTTTTGCTGCAGCCGTCACACTGACGAGGTCCAGTTGCAGCACTGAACAGGAATGTATGCGACTTAAAGGACCGGAAC